TCTGCTTCACCGGTTCTGATTTTTGGACAGGCGATTAGGAAGTACACATTACACATGTAATTAATAAACCAGCGGTTTACATGCAATACTTTAAGAAATTCTATACAATTGTAAGAAGCAAACAAGTTGAAAATGGAATTTAGTGTGAAGTTGAAAAGGACAACTAAACACTGTAGTGCTTAAGTGACATTTAAATTAAAATAAAAACGATGTGCTCTGGCCTCTACATCTTTACCTTGTAAATAAAAAAAATCTAAGAAATACACTATTAATTGCTGATGATTTAACCATTTTTTTTTAATGAGACATATCCAAGAGAAATAAAAATACAAATGACTTATATTTTATTGTCTGTATGCCCACTATGATATAACACGAAGCAATTCTAAATAGCATTCTCAATGTATAATGTATTATGTTTGAAGTTTATTTGCCTGGATTTATTCTAGAAATATTTCGTTGATAGTTTTTTTTCTATTTACATATCATTTCTTAGAATAAATCGATAAGGACACTGATTTACAAGTTTGACCAGAGTTTTTAGGCATAAATTTCATTCTGTATTTAAGTGCTTGAAAGTAGAAAATCTGAATTATATCAATTTGGGACACAAAATATATTGCTCTACAAATCTCGAACTTGTATGGAACAAATTTTCTCTGTTATATATTTTGTGTTTTGTTTTTGTTTTGTTTTTTCTAAAAGAAGCCTTAATGTCTCTCCGGTTGCATGTCCGTCGCATTCAGTGCTGCAGCACTTTGATTTTTGTTTGGGACCAATGTTTTTACTTCATACAGCAGCATGGCTTAAAGTAGCTACATACATACATGTATTTAAACTTCACACAACTTGTGTACTGCTCTTCTGTGTTTGTCATTATAAATTTTTCATCTTTAATTACGATTTATCCCACAAGAATTTAATTTTACTCTTCACCTACTGGAACAAACATCCCAGCAAATTTCAGCTGGACACTCAGTTTTTGTATTTTACTTTTAAAATCCCTAAAAAATTCAGCTCCACTGTTCCAGTAGTAATTTTTTAAGCCAATCAAATTAATTATATAAATTAAGCAGGACAAGGTTGAGCATAATAACAAAAGGTTGATATATAAAAAGTTCTAATAATCACATTCTTGCTCTACTATATTATGGAGTTACAAATAAAAAGAAAAGTAAAATGTATTGCATAGATGAAGCAGCAAGTTCTGGTTTGCTTGCTATATTCCTCCATTATAATTTTAAGGAAGGCTTTCATTCAATGCTTTTACAGCCATTAACAAACGTTGCAGGTTATGTAATAATTTTATCTTCCAAATCAGTATCAGTAAAATATGAAGTTGCTTCTTAAAAATTGGATGAAATTTACTTATTTTTGCAGATTTCTGCAAACTATTTATAACTTAAATTAATGTATGATATTTTAGGATTGCTGAACCATTTTAATTTTCACTGTGGATGGAAACAGTGATCTATTTAAATAATATTTTCAAGTAGCGTTTAATTAAGCTAAATGTTTTACCATGTGATGTACATTTTATCTTTTATAGTATTATTCTTAGAAATTAATGTACTTTATTGAAAGAAAAAAAAAATATTGGAATTATTGATTTGTGAACTTGTTTTGAAATAAAGATATTGTTTTACTTGAAGCAAAGTTTGTTGTTATTTTAGACATTCTACCACCACAATTTGCTCTCCCTTTCTGTTATATGATGGTAAAAGAACTGGCACACAAAAGTAAGGGTACAACCATCATAGGCAATATTAGAACTATTTTCTTTTATCATATTGTATCAACAATAATGTACTGTCTAATTTGCCCAAGAGACTACACTAACAGCTTGGTGTGAAAGGGTCGTAACTCCTTTATTTAATATGAGTTACAACCCTTTCACACCAAGCCTCCACATGAAGTAAGCAACTTTTGTGTTTTATAGCGCCCACTAAATTTCCCCCATTTTCTCACTATATTTCTACATGTGAAGTGTCTTTAGCTCCCTGCAACTAGTGACTGCTAAATAGTCCACTCTTTGTGATCAATCTTTTTATCAAGCAACCATTTTTATCTTTTAAGTCTGTGTTTTTACAGAATGCCGCCCCATGTCGCCAATTAAAAACACAATGCAATGTAAAAACTTTTAATTCCCAGTCTGCAAGCATATGCAAATGAAGAAATGTGTTATGTGTATTATTCAATTAAATGGATAAAACAAAACAATACTCTGTCCATACTGTACGGGCGTCTTATGCTGCACTGTTGATATTTAGACTCCAGTGAATTGACCCTTGAAATCATCACAGTGAACATTTAGTGTTGAGAAACATTCAAGACAAGTTAAATTTAAAGATGGAGGAGCTTAAAAATCTGGGGGAAAAAAATCAAACCTGTACATAATGGTTCATCATAAGTTTTTTCTTCCAAATTTTATAATGGGAGTCTGGAAGGTATAATAAACCAGTGTAAGTTATAGTTAAAAGAATAATTCACCTCAACACCAGGGCAAGTTAAGAATATTTTATTAGTGTCAACTAGTTTCAGTCAATACTTGACCTTCATCAGGACCAATGTATAATAATAAATGGGAGCAGAAATACTTAAAGATACATGTTTCATGAATAAAAGATGATTTTTGGTGTTTCACAACTGCTTAATAACATTTTTCATGATTATTATTTTTTGATTTCAGATGGCTAAATCAATACCAGATGGTTTTTTGCAGCAGGGTAAAACTAACAGAAACACCAGTTACAAGAAATCAATAGATAGTAGCATGTTAGTCTATTCATCATATAACTCCTATAAATTATACAATTAAAAATATTACTTAAAATGAAGGAAAAGAAATTTTCTTTTGAAATTATTCATGACAGTAATCATCAGAAACTTAAGACTCAACTTTGTGTGTTTGTTTGTTTTGGGTTTTATGTCACATCGACACAGAATAGGTCATATTGCGACGTTCCAGCTTTACTGGTGGAGGAAGACCTCAGGTTCCCCTCTGTGCATTATTTCAGGCACAAACGGGCACCTGAGTAGAACCACCGACGTTCCATAAGCTAGCTGGATAGCTTCCTCACATGAAAGAATCCAAAGTCCCTGTCAGGATTTGAACCCACAGCAGTGAAGGGCAAGTGGTTTGAAGTCAACGACCTTAACCACTCGGCCATGGACGCCCCAACACTCAACTTTAATTCCTTTTTGTAGCTTGTCTGTTTTGAATAGAAAGTCAAGCTAAAGCTTTAAAGTTATGCTTCTTTTTAACTTACTTTGCCTATCGAGTAGGATGATTTCCAAATAATTAAAGCTACCAACATGAAACTTGATATTTGCTCCTCATGGCAAGATGCAGCTGAAAGATAAGGGGCATAATTCTTATAGATATGTTCATTGAGTAATGGCCCTTTTTACTTAGAATTTATTTCAAAATTGCTAATAAAGTAGAATGATTTCAAAACTATGAAATATATCAAAAGATTGCTTGGAATACAATGACAAGCTACATTTGTGAAACAAGGGTCAATACTCTTACAGCTTTATTTTTGGAGTTACATTGTATTCATGCCCCTTTTTAACTTGAATATTTGCTTGTTGTTAAGTATCAAAGCTACCAACATTTAACTTGGAATACTTATCATGACTGGCATGATTGTAATACAAGAGGCATTATCATAAAAGCAATATTTGTAGCAGTAATGCTCCTTTTAACTTACAATATTTATGAAAACTGATTATCCTCTAACACTTGATGAGCATTTTTGCTCTTGTTTTGCTACTTTTACCAAGAAATATCAAAACAGAAGTATCCTTATGAATGAAATAAAGTTTTTCGACATTTTTAAGCTCCTTTAAGCTCAAAGGGTTTTTCTCATGGAAATGTGTCATCATTATCCATAATGTCTTTAAACAACATCTTCTAAACAACAAAGTAGATTTTTTTGAAATGATACTCTAAATGGTTCTAGTCTGATTCATAGTAGATCTCAAATGGCCTTAAAAATAAAATCTTTAGAAATCTCCTGTACCATGTAGCATCACCTTTTAAGTTTTATAAATTGTGTCCCTAGGGTTAAAATTGGCCTCACTTGGGGCAACTCATCTATTAAGTGTATAAAAATTTGTTTTAGTTTGATTGTTTTGGAAGCTGTTAGCTTATTGAAACATTCTCAAATCAGTTTCGAATCAGCCAGTACTAAGCAATGAATGTAAAGTTTAATGCTCGAGGAAACGACTTCCCCCCCAACAGGGTTTGAACCCACGCGGCCAATGATTTTTAGATTATTAGTATAATGCATTAACCATTCAGTTATGCCACCACCTACTTGTCTATTTGGACTTTTTGTCACACATATTAAGGCATGTATGACACTACAATGTCTAGAGTTAAGAAAGTAGTGTCGCTCAGTGGACTTCTACAAAAGATACATTAGAAATGCCCCTGGGGTCAAAATGGCTTTTTCTTTTGGTCCACACATTTTTATTTAGACTTGTGTAGTATTGAATATGTATTAAAATCTACCATGAAATAACAGCCTCTAAAAAAGTTAAGTAGATCTTGTCCCCAGGGTCAAAATTGGCCCTGCCTTAGGTATCATTTAGTTCGAATAGACTTCTGTAGGAAAACACACAATTAAGTCTTGCAGAAAACTACAATGCATGAAGCACCTTTTAGCTGACTTGGACAGATATGTTTATATCATGCAGCTTGGGTCAAAACTGATACACCCAGAAGAAGTATAAACTATTTAAAGTGTTGTAATGAATAAGGCTTATTTTTTCATTTTAGTCAACTTAAGAATGAAACTGCATTATAACAATTATGTCATTAACCTAACTAGCTCCTGCAAATGTTTCACAGAGATGTAAATGTGAAAACAATGTTCCAAACATATTTTTACCATGTACCTGAATCACAGTCATTAGGGCTATACCAGTACCAACAAGCACTTAGTTTACATAAAATCAAATTCTTTGGAAGAAGAAAACACATAAATATCCTATGAAAAGCTGCATACTTAAAATTTAATTCAAAAATAGAAAATATTTATGATAATATGAAACTGAAAGAAAACTCTAACAATATGACAGTTATAAATAAATTAATAAATAAAAACACATGTTTTGACAGAAATAAACTTAATAAACTAGATGTCAAAAAGGGAGATAATTACGCAACAAAAATGAGTCAAAACTGGAATGTACACTTATGTTTAACATGAACATACAAAAATGATCACATGACTGCAGTTTGAGATTTTACAGTCAGTTTTATCTGTCGAAGATCCTCGGAACTGAATTTTGGAGTAAGCACTACATTATCATAGTCAAAATCTTCATCTAGTTTGAATGGCTGGACAAGATCTGTGCTCTCTACCTGAAATATATTTACAATCAATAAAAATATGTTATCAACATTATTTTATAAAGTTTATATTACTTGTTTGTTAAACAAAAGGTAAAAATATTTTATATAGTGCATTATCTTATGGTGAAAGCAAAGTAGCAAGAAAGGGGTATTGACGTGTATTTTTGGGTGTTAAACTTTCCCGCTAAATATAATCCTATAATTTGATTTTTTTCTGTTCTTTTCTATAAACAGTTTATAATGGAATAAATTTTGATAAAACTGTGATACTTTGTGTGTATTTGAGTTTATTTATACTCGCCACCGGTTGCCCATATGGTCGAGTCCTCCAGAAGAGTATTAGTATTATTAAATTTACATACTAAAATCAAAATCTATTTCCTTTGAATACAAATGTAATCATTGTTATTAAGTAAGTATAGCTTTATTTCTCTTACTTCAAAAAATTTAAAATAGTATGTAACTGTATAAAGACAAAATATACTGATACATTTATATTGAAGTGAAATTTGACAGCATAATAATAACATTTTTTGATGGACTAATAGTGTTTTATGTATTTATTACAACATTAAACATTATAAAGTAATTAGATCACCAAATGGTTTGCAGGGTTAGTAAATTTACACCTATTTCTCATTTTGATTGGATGAAATTGGCATACTTATATAATTTATTGCAAAATAAGGAAGAAATTTAAAGCTACATTAAATAAAATATGTAAACATATTTTCCGTCGGCTTACAAACCAAGCTTTCTATAGGTTCGTTTTACATTTTAACAGTATTGTTGTAAATCTCATTAAAATTTGTCCTTAAGTTATGATTTTAAAAGGAAAACCTCACGGTAACACAAAAGTTCGTATACGAATTTTAACATGCAAATGAAGACTTGTATAATTAGCTTGTGTATGTGCTATGTCACAATAGTCAAAATCAATTGTAACCATGTGCATCACAGCAAATAGGAGATATTCTTGTGCAAACAAACTTTTACTGTTTTAGTTTGACGGTGCATTAGCCCTGTTGTTTACAAAAAAGTAATCATCTCACAAAAAGATTGAATTTGTATGAAAACATCCGTTATATAATGCGGAAATATACCATTAAATTCTGAATTAAATTAAATTAAATGCTTGTTGATTTTCTATTGATGTACAGATGACCTAAAGGCAGAGATTCTCATGCAAATAGAAATTGTACTACCGATTTCGCCACAATAAGGTTGTAGATTATGGCTTATAAAACTCATTTTGGTTGTCTGGACACCAAAATATGAACAGGAGTCAATATGAAACATATTTATTTAATGAAATGAAGCTATTGCTTTTTTTATGAAATTCATCAAATGTAGCTTTAAATATTCTTGTTGCCATATAGGTCAATTACCTGTATGTCAGAGTTCACTGATGATTCTCTGAAAGTTGCCTTAAAGTCCAGTAATCTGTCATTCTCAACACCAGGTTCATCATTTCTCTCTTCTACTTGACCAGGAAACACAAGTTTATCAAAATCAACTGCCCCATGTTCTTCTATACATGTGTTTTCATTTGTCTTCACAATCTGCACATTACCTTCAGAATCTCGTAAACTGCTCCTGTATATATCATCTAATCTTGCTTTCACCTTTTGATCTGGTACATTCATTGTCTTCAAATCCTCTTCAGTTATTTTCACTTTAACATCATTAGTCTCTGAGTCATCACACAATAAATCAATAGCATCATTATCATCATCATCACTGTTAAAGTTTACATCTTCAGATTCTGTACTAGCTTCTTTCACCTCTGGAATATGCTGTTGTTTAGGTTTTTTATTTTTATGTAAGAAGTTTGCTATGTCCATTTCAGAACTTGCAGCTTCTAATTGTGATGTATTGTCTGGAGTCTGCTCATTTTTTTCATTTTGTAAATCGGCAAGAAAATTTAATAATAATTTATCAGTTGAATTTTCATCTAAAGATAAGTGTGAATTGAGCATGTCTGTGACATCACCATCATCACGGAAACTGTTTGAACTAGCTTTGACTGTATGAACTCTTTCAGGAACAATATTAACCATCTCTCTGGCAGCACTGTTTCTAGTGGAGATTCCTGCAGTATATCATATTTTAACAATATTTTTATCAAATTAACATTGCATGTATGTTTTTGGTGACAAGAATACATTAAAACATTACTAAATAACTAATAAGTTAGATTGAGTAACAGGCAAAACTCAAACAAATTCTAAAATTTGACCTTCAAAATTAAGTTTATGAGTCAAGTTTAGTGTGATGTTAAATGGACCATCTTGTCATAAAGGTTGTTGTGCCTAGTATGTAACCGATCCTGTCAAAAATTATAATCCATGGTAGCAAAAATCAAGCAAAATCTAAAAACATTTTACCTTGAATGGCAAGATTGATGGTTCACGGTCAATTTCAGTCTAATTTACTTACTTGAAGATCCTTTCATAGGGTTGTTGTGTATGGAGATATTTCATTATGAATTCAAAGAATTATGACCAAAGTTAAAGTTTGCAGATGACAACAGGAATGACACCATTAATGTAGCACTAGGTCATTTTTTTAAAATAAAATTTAATGAACTCAAGATAATAAGTCAGATAAATGCTTAACATTTCTACAATTATATAGATTTTTAAAAATGTATATCAAAATGAAAAAAATGTGCAAAAAATAATACTTTTTTTTTTATATATTATAACTGTAATCTGAAAGCATAAATTTTCACTGCATGAGAAAACATAATTATTTTACCTGAACTGAAACTGGCTGAATAACTTTGTGTAGACATATCTTCAATGACATCAATATCATCATCACCATCGGCAACAGGATCAACAAAATTGTCAAACTAAATAAACACAAAAATTTCATTTACATTCAATCAATCTTTGATATGTTTAAATGAAATACAAAAATCTTATTAACCATCTTGATGACGGTAAGGGATCACACTTCTTCTTTAATTTTTGTATGGGTTCTTAGTCATACTAACACGGTTCATAGCTTTACTAGTGGAGGAAGACCTCATAGGCTCCACTGTGCATAATATCAGGAACTAGCTTGCAACAGAGTGGAACCACCAATTTTCTCTCAACTAACTGGTAAGTTTCCGTGAAATAAAAACCCTGTCAGAATTTGCATCTACTTTGGACTTGGACTCAGAAAGTTTTCTGATTCAGATAAACTTTTGCCACAGAGGTACCAATTGCTGAAGTAAGCAATTTATTTAAAAAAACAAAACAACAAAAAATAAAACCAGCATCACCTAGTGACAAGATTAAAATAGATGCCTTCATTCAGAATTGCACCAAACAGAGGAATAAAACATAGAAACAAGTAAAAGAAATCACACAAAAAAACACTTGGATATTCAACATTCTTGAACTGGCATTTCCATTTAAAGTGGCAGCACAAATGAACTCATACAAATGTTCACTTGAAACAATTTCAGGCATTTTTAGTAAACAAATTAAGTATGAGCAGGTATTAAAAAAAACAATGTTAAGACAACTGCACTTTCTTGACTTTGTCTATCTAACTTCAGATAATGACCTCAAACTCAACAGTATGATACAAGAACAGATTCAGTATTTCCATATAAACCTACACAACAAATTTATGGTCAGTGTGTGTAATTTAGAATTGGTTCATGTTGTCAGGCCTAGTATTTAAAGTGACATGATGCCCATCTAAGGGCCTATAATGAGAGAACAGGTGAAAGTCAAAATTAGTTTTCATTATGCCATAATTCCTTTGAACTTTATAATTGACTTCGCATGGACGATAAATAACTAACATGGCACAAGGGAATTTCAATAAATATCCATTGGATACGGGGCAGCCTTTTATATTATAGGCAGATTTATATTTAATCCTTAACATTTTCCAGTATCAACTGCTGGTCAATCAGTATTATAACAGTCAATGTTTTGAAATTTTAAAGAAATTTTCAGTCAATTCAGTTCAACTTGACACTGAAAAATAATGAGCATAATGTCACTTCAATCATAATACTATCAACAAAGACTTTTAGTCCAATGTAAAGTAAATACATTTGTTACTCCTCATACACTGTTTTTGTGTACAGCAAGGTCACATTGAAGAACTATTTTCAATTGTTCTAATTCCAAGCTGATCATGAATAATTGGTGAGGGGTTTCAAATGTCGACTGCATTAAATTTATTTGTTGGCAAAGTTCCAAATTTTAAAAGTAGTAACATTTTGTCAAAGTTATCATGATATTAGTTCCATTTTTTATTTTCGATACATGTACATATATCTGAGTAGAAACCCACAAAATGGGATCTCCACTTATTCTTAATTTTCAGTTAACCTGAATTTTTGCTACTCTGGAAATTTTGTCCAGTCCTGACCATGTCCGGTTAAGTGAGTTTTTTACTGTATTTGTTTTACTCTTTACATATTGTTCTAAATTACTTGCTTGTTTACATAATTATACAATCAAACTACATTAAAATTACTGAAAGTTGAAGTCAAACTGAGAGGGAGTTACAACTCCACATGGTATAATGTTATATCTACCTTGACTAATGAGCCTGTTTTGATGACTTTTGTCTTGTTTATTCTACTAGTTGTGTCCCCTTCACATAAAATCTGTAAAATAATAAGCTTGATAAAAAGATCCAGGCATAATGATACTAGCATTTTGCAATATTTTACAATATTATTACATTTAAATTAGAAGCAAAATAAAAAGACATAAATTCACAAATAATTTTGGGACCAAACATGCTTTAAGAATAATATACCGTATAAGTACTTTTTTCTGCTGGAACTTTATTTCTGCTATTTCTGCGGTTCGTAACGACACCGCAGATTTAAAAACCGCAGAAAATTAAGCCTTCCCATATGTCTATGTCGGAATATGTCAACTACCAGTACTGTATAATTACATTACCCTGTACTGTTATCGGCTTTTATAGATAATTATGTTTCTTTATGTATCTCTCATGAATAAAATATTAGAAAATAAAGTTACTTTAATTATTCTTTCTGCTTAAATAAATATCATGTTTGTATGATTTTCGCTCACCCTAAGCTTTTTTTTTTTTGTAAAATAAAACTATTATAGTGTGACGGGTGCAATAAACAAACCCTTTTGGATTTGTACAATATCTTGTGTTTACGTGCAACTATACCATTGTTTATTTTTCACACTACATATCTATACACATGCAGTATTACAATTAATTGTTGTCATTGCACGTTGTTAAATTTTGTTTATTAACATTTATATACCGATACATGATGATTATGATGAAACACGTTGTAAGTCGTCTGCACGTTTACCGGATGTAATGTACATCAACAAATCTTGAAATGTTATCTGTTTGTATGGGTTAATTTTGTAAAAATATCTAAATTAAAACGCAGAAATAAAAAAAAACATCAATGCGAAATGATGACACCGCAGAAATAAGATACGCAGAAATTTAAAACCCCTTATTTTAACAAAAATCGCAGAATATTAAGCCCGCAGAAATAAGTACTTATACGGTACTTCTTTTAAAATGAGATATTGAAAATTATCAATGAGAGGTGTATATTTGAAATATTATACTGTTTGAAACTGAATGGTTTCTATTTAAAACATGCATAGATATGACAAAGATTTTTGTGATTTAATTAATGGACTTAATTAAGAACATCAATTTCATTAGTGTCTTGGTAACATATGACTGGTTTAATAGAAAACTATATTATTCAATGCAAAGTAGAAAGAATGTTTGTAGTGAATACAGACTATATTTCACTCCAAAGTAAGAATCTGTATTACATGTATATTTACATTTGCATTTTGTGTTCTTGAAACTATCTATAAAATTCCCACTTATACGGAGATATAGAATATATTCAATGATTTCAAATTTATATCCTTTATTTACTGCATTGTATAATAAATTGGACAACAGCCCTCTATTGCCTGTTGAATTGTTGCTATTGCATGGTACAGTCTAACTTGCCCATGCAACCATGTGTATTAAGCGACTTTTGTCTTAAACGACCATTTTAAATTTCCCTCGATCATTTTCTCTCTATATTTTTAATGTATTAAGCGACTTTTGCTCAACGCGACCAGCGACCACTAATTAGTCACCTAATTGAGAGCAATCATTTTATTAACAGACCACTTTTACTTGTGAAATAATTGTATTTTTAGAGAACGCCGCCTCGTAATGTCACAAGTGTCAACAATCAAAACACAACAAATAAACGTGTGAAAAACTCTATTTCCCAAACCGTTTAAGCGTTAGCAAATGAAGTTAAGTACACGCGTGACATGTATTATCCAATAATATCGAATAAAGAATGCAACGCTCCTCACCTACTGATGTGGTGTATACGCTTCGCTTGTTGACATTTAGACTGCATTGAATTGACCTTGAACCTGATCAGCAATTAAATTAGATGAAGTTTGTTTATTTGGAATGAAAAAATGCACAAAAGAAAAACACCTTTACTAATAGGGTTTTCGTGTTGGAGACAAGGAAAAACAACGGAGAAGTTAAAAAATTCTGGAAAAAATGTCAACATGTACTTAATGGATCAAAACTGTTTTGTCAATAAATATCTAAAAGTTATTTTTTACATTGGCATCAATTTAGATAATCGAGCCTACTAATTATTCAACATTTATATAAAAATTAAGTTGTAAAACATTCCCACCGCATAAGAAAGATGTCATTGGTAAATTTTGACTTTTATGTCATGCTTTGTCTTAAGAGACCGTTTCATTAAGCAACCGTTTTGTGTGTTTCCCTTGCGCGGTCGCTTAATACACGTTTGACTGTATATGTAGTTTATAAAATGACATTTTACCTCTTCTTCGATATCTTGTGATTCTGGTACCTTGACAGGTGAGTCTTTAATTCTTGCCTTTGATTCACTCACTAGATCGGGTGCATTTTCATTGTTTTTCAACAGTCTAGTTTTGTTTCTTTTATCTGAACTTTTATCAACTTGCTCTTTCTTGACAACTTGTTTCTCCTGCATACCTAAAATAGATATTTATATGCACAGAGCATACCTGACAGACCAAGATTCATATAAATTCAAAGACATTCATAGAATGAACCTGAATTAGACATTCATATGCACAAAACAAACCTGAAATAGATGTTCATTTGCACAGAACAAACCTGAAATTGACATTCATATGCACAAAACAAACCTTAATTAGACATATATATACACAAAACAAACCTGAAATAGACATTCATATGCACAAAACAAACCTGAAATAGACATTCATATGCATAAAACAAACCTGAAATGCACAAAACAAACCTGAAATAGACATGCATGTGCACAGAACAACTTAATAATGTAAACATAGTTTTTTTTACCAAAATTAACAGAAAATACCCATTTTTCAAAACATGCAGTCTGAATTCTTAGTCTGGCTGTTGTTGCTACTTATGCCTTTTTCTGTTCTAATAAACCTAATTACATGACTCAAAAATGAACCGGAAATTCAGAAAGAGGTACATAGGTACAGTATAAATAAATACATGTAGCAAAAATCAGGTATTTAATGATATATGAATAAAATAAGCCATAGAAAATAATTTTTAATCAACTCAACTCAACTCAAATAATTTTATTGCGTTAAACATACAATATATGTTTATAGCACATACAACATAACTATAGGCAGAAGACATGGATTTTTCTAGGAGCACAAAAATACAATGTAAAACATATGAATTCATAATTGTGACGTGTTTGAGGTTCTGTAAAACTATTTTCTAATCAAATTTGCATAATATAAATATTTAGAAAGATCTCTTACAATTATTTTAGATTCAGACAATAATAAATTAGTAAATTTCTGCAATGTAGGCCATGTATAATAGTAGCGTCTGAGATATTTTTTTGCGAAGGTCAGCATATTGTGAGCATGTAAACAAAAAGTGAAATTCGTTTTCAATTTGTCTCGAAGAACAATTATTGCATATTCTTTCCAGTCTAGGTACGTTTGTATATCTTCCCTTTTCAATAAACAAGTCGTGAGATGATGTGCGAAATTTTGTAAGCGCAACTCGAAATCTTTTGTCCTTAATATAATCAAGATAACTTTCAAATTCAAATTTATATTTTGTAGAACTGTATGTATCTAGACGTTTAGAATTATTGAAAGAACAATACCAACTTTGATAATAAATGTCTTATATGCGTCGTTTAATTAATGTAGTCAATTAACATACTAAATTGATTTTTCCAAATATACATTATGTATGAAAGTTTGCATTTATCAAGTATAATTTATGTTTGATAAGCCCAGTTACATTTATTAAATGTGTTGTTTCCTTCAACATCAACTTTAAGCATGTGATAGGTTTTAAAAGGAAGCGACATGTCAATAATTCTATCCAATACTTTACCATAATTAATTGTATATGAATGCTCATCCGGATCCTAGCTATAAAGAGAGTCTAAATTTGTAGAGCGTTTGACAGATAATCCCTTTCTACAGACTTTGGAGTGAATAAGTTCAACATCAGGTCCGACATGATGTACATAGATTTCAGCCGCGTACTACCAATTAATCGAATAAGTCGCATTGTTTGACCACGGGCATATCAAGTTGTTTAAAATCGATGAACAAATTATGTAATGAGTGCGAACCGTCCTGGTGTATTCACTTTTGTGTCTGGTTCCAATTGCCGTTTTTCTTTTTTATAAATGAACGCCCAAATATTTAAAAGAATCTACTAATTCTATATGATTGTTATAAAGATAAAAATCAAATTTGGTATGTCGGCCTTTTTCAAAAATCATGGTTTTTGTTTTGCTGGCATTAAGACGTAAGCCCCATGTATTGCTATATTCTTCAATGTCGTTCAACATGGACTGTAGTGAGTTTGGATCGTGAGCAAATAAAACTGCGTCATCGGCAAAAAGTAATAAAAATAATTGAATGTCGCCAATGTTCATTATTCCATTAATATCTGTATTTACATTATTAACAATATCGTTTAAAAAGAAAAGACACAAAATGCTGCTGGCGGGGTCACCTTGCTTCACTCCAATGTTTGAATTTATAAAGTTAGAGTTAGTCGAATTATACCTTACAAACGATTTAACCGTTGAGTACATTGACTTTATAGCCAATACAAATTTTGTACTAACATTTGCATTCATTAGTTTTTGCCACAAGTAAAGTTTATCAAGTCTGTCAAACATTTTTTCCCAATCGAGAAAGGCTACATATATTTTTTTCTTTTCAGCAAGAGTTTTTGAAATAAGAGCGTGTAAAATATAAATACAGTCAATCGTTGATTTATTCTTTTGAAAACCAAATTGATTGTCAATTAACTTTTCTTTCTTATCGGCCCATTTTGTAAGTCGAGTTATAATTAGTTTTGAATATATTTTTGAAATAATGTTATTTAATGTAATTCCTCTAAAATTCTTAGCTTCCCGATTGCCTCCCTTGAATATGGGAACGATTATGCCTTGTGTCCAACTTTCTGGAAACATTCCATGTGTAAAAATTTCATTATACAACTTAACAAGAAATGGAGAAATTATGTCAAATGAGTGTTTAAAAACTTCCGCTATAAGGTTATCAGTCCCCGGACTTTTTGAATTATTTTGAGCAAAAACTGCATTTTTAACTTCTAATTCAGAAAAAACAGCATCTAATTCATTATCATATACAAAATTACTATTAAAATGCGAGCTTGTGTCAGAGGTCGCTTCGTTGCCATAAAGATTATTGAAATGAGTAAATAGTGATTCAATTGATATATTTATTTGTTCCTTTGAATCCGTTTTATACTGCGATTTTATATTTTTCCAAAATTGCTTTGGTTGCGATTTTGATAATTTAGTATACGTTCTCCTTCATTTCGCTGAAATATGCGTTTACATTTTTTCTTTATTTTTATATAACTTCGTTTTTTATTCAAAAACTCATTTTTATTTTCAACAGACTTATTTCTTAAAAAAATATTTCTTGCATTATTTAGCCGCTTACGCGCGTCATAACATTCTTTATTAAACCATTTCTTTTTCCCTGTAATATTTGTAGTAGAATTTTTTTAACCTGTGTTTTCCGAATACACTAAAAGAGTTGTTTTGCATAAAAACAGTAAATCACTACCTTTAACTAACTCACCAACATTGGTTTATCAGAAGATAAAAATTGAAAACCTATTTAAATTCTTGATTCAGGGAAACTGTACAGAAATTCTTTATACATTTAATTGATACAGTAAAGAAGAACATCAAAATATGGTTACACTTATGCTTAAAATGGAAAACTATATTTATATATCTATTTTATTATAATTCATATTTTATGGGTTAATAGGGTAAAAAAATGTTTGAATATAGAGATAATTGTAAGCATTAATGTCTAATGGATTATAAGAAGGGGGTGGCTGTGGCCAAATACTGTAGATAAGGTTGTTGACTTTAAACCACTCAACCTTCACAGCTGTAGGTTCAAATCCAGCTAGGGTCTTTGGATCTCTTGCATATGAGGAAGCTATCCAGTTAGCTTTCAGAAGGTTGGTGATTCTACTCAGGTGCCCTCTAGTGCCTGAAAAAATGCACAGAGGGACACCTGAGATCTTTCTAAACCAGTAAAGCTGGAAAGTTGCCACATGATCCTTACAGAGTTAGTGTGATTTTAAAGGAAAGAAAAACAAACATAATCACAACAATACCTGTTTTAAGGAAAGTAAAGCTGTTTAGAAAGTCCTCATAACTTTGCACAGAATTTCCCATGACCTTATCAAGGGCACTGTACATGGTATCATCTCTATTGTTTTTCCTGTTGTCTTCTGAAGGTGTTGGAGATGGTGTGCCTGTTGCCATGGTTACTTCTGTATAACAGATATACATGTATTGTAATTATATGATAAAATTGATATTAAAGCATAAATTTAGTTTTGGTATTCAGATATCTGTCCCAACATAACAATTGTTTACAGATTCATTATTCAATTTGATATGTGCCAGTCATTTAATGATTTATTTTCATCAGTTTTTGTAAAGCAAAGTCACATCTGTCATTTTGTCAGTTGAGTAATAAGTGTCCTTTTGTCCACCTCCCCCCTAGAATGAATCAAAGCCATAAATAAATGATAAATTTATAACAATTTAAGCTTAATATCTAAAATTTTACTGGGAAGTCTAAGGTCGGGACAGCGAACTGGGCCCAGGCTTTTGGCTTGCCAAGCTATAGACTACACGTGTACAGTTAAAAGAAAATCAAAGAACAATTAAAGAATATAAATTATAGACTTCTATACATATCAATGAAATTTTCAGTGTCAATTCTAGTCTGGTGCCGTCATTTTCAATGTAACTCAATGATAATAGGCTGGGTATTACGATAACGAACAATCGCAATTTTTCGTATTATCCATTAATAATAAGCGTGGAGTATTCTGAATGAAAACAGAAGCAGTGCTTAACACACCGAAAGACATCTTTAAAACAGAAGAATAAATGAGCCGCCTCATGACAAAACCAACATAATGGGTTTGCGACCAGCATGGATCCAGACCAGCCTGCACATCCGCGCAGTCTGATCAGGATCCATGCTGTTATGTTGGTTTTGTCATGACACGGCTCAAATGATTTTGTTTTAACCCTCTTCCTTTTTCATATAGGCTTAGCCTTATCTCATATATTAGGTGTGTTCCTCTTTCAATCTAGATGAAACAATTTATCATTTATACAGAATACAATATTAATAATAATTTTTACACCACCATGAGCTGTTTTTTTTTTAATGGAAAATATATAACATTCCAAAATATTTACTTGGTCCGAACTTGTTTGAGTACGAACTAAACAATTTTCAACACTTAAAACATTACGTAGGAAAATATTGGATTAATCTTTACTCTGTCACACAATTTAATTTATCATTTTACCTGATTGTACAATATTCTTTGAGACAATCTTTTAAAAACGAATAGTTTATCTCACAAAGTATAAAATATGCAATTTAATTATAAACTATTCAGTATGGAATGTCACTGGGCAGCCATGTTGTTTACATACGAAGGATAGCTATTTTGTTGTATTTGACACTGATAACATTAACACAGTATCTGAGTAAAGAACTATCCTTAAACAATCTCTTTTCGGCCGAATATCCGAGGTTTGGCGGAAAATGCCGAGAAGCAACAATCGCGTTGCGGGATACGTATCCGTAGACCCACGCATAGGGGTACGGCACATGGGGGTGAATTTTTTTTTTTATATTTATAGATATATATAGATCTATATCCACATTTAAAAAGATATGCAGAAAAAACCCCGAAAAAAAAACAAAAAACAACAAATGGCCGCCAATTATTTTTGAAATAAAAATTCTATTTTGAAGTTAATATATTAATTAATATGGCAGGTAGAAGAAAAGGACTAGTTTCAAATAAGACTGCTAATAAGTCTGTCACAAGTGTTCAATCTACAATTGAGAAAAGTAAATTATCTGATGTAAATTCGGAAGATTTGCACAAGTCACATGATCATAGTTATAGCATAGCTGATGAAAATTCCTGTTCAATATGTAAAATTGAAGTCATCAATGATGGCATTCAATGTGAACTGTGTGATGGATGGTACTGTATTAGTTGCTCAGGTTTGTCGTCAAGCTTTTTCTTCTTCTTCTTCCAGTATAAGAGCCGGGATCCAAAAGGAACGTAATGATCCAAAAGGCTCTGCGAAACTATGTACATGGTGAGATGGAACACTCTTCCGCTCAGCGATAAAAGTTGTAAAAACTGATAAAAACTTTATTTACAGAGACGTTGTGTAGTGAATTTAGACGGAGGCCGGCAGGCGCGCGCGGAACGCATCCAATGTTTCCGCGGCGGTGACTGTTGATGCCAGGCCATTCCAATCAACAATTGTCCTGGGGAAGAAGGTATTTGTATACATCCTGCCAGTGGTGCGTTCTTGGTAGAAACGTATACGTGTTCTACTGTCACTGGTGTTCTTCTTGGATTGGTTACTCAGTGGTAGGTACTTGTCCTTGGGGATGTCTACTAGGTCATGTTGAATGCGGTACAGCATGCCTAACCTTGCTTCCTTCCTTCTCTGTTGGAGGGTATTCCAATCCAGGCTTCCTTTTATAAGGAATTAACAAAATCTAAAATCAGTGAAAACATAATATGGTATTGTGATGGGTGTAAGAAGGCAGTTCCAGGTGTACAGAAAGTGCTCCAAATTGTTAATAACTTAAAAGAATCACAGGACTCTATTAATCAAAGGTTAAGCAAAGTGGAGGGAAGATTAGACAAAATGCAAATGGAACAAAACTCTAACCTCTTAAATGAAATTAAAGTTGATCAGGCCATAATGGATTTCAAGGAGCGTGAAAAGAGAAAAAATAGTGCTATAGTATTTAGTCTCCCTGAAGCAGATAAAAGTTTTGAAGATTATGAAAATAGAGATCTTGAGAATGTTAAAAAGATGTGTGAATTGGCATCTGTTCAGCAAGGCAAAAATATAATAAGGCTTGGTAAAAAAAAGTCAGGTCCTAGGCCCCGACCCAGGCCCCTTAAAGTAAGTTTTTCAAATGAAGCTGAAAAACACAGATTTGTCACAAATGGTAAAATTGTCAAAAGAAATACTGAATTTAAAAATGTTATCATAACTCCAGACTATATATACCATGCGTCAGAGGGAACAGAATATTTTAATGAAGGCCGAAGTTGCCAAACGTCGAGAGATAGATCCCTCCTTCACTTTTCGAAAACTTAAAGATGAACTCTTTAAAAGAAACACAGATATGACAGAACGTCTTAATAACAATTCCTATACATCTGAAACTCAAACATTAATGCATAGTTCCCCTTTAGGGGAAGGCTCCAGCAGGAGTGTATTTGCATAGACAGTAATAAAAACAGTTCGTGTTTACATAGTTCAAGTTTTGTTAATGTTTATTTTTCTTCTTCTTTGAAACAAGTACCTCAAGTAATGAGGTTGTATATAGTAAAAATGACTTTATCTCGAAGCATTCTGATTGCACTAATCATGATGTATCATTTGTTGTTAACAGTGTAAGTGCTATACATGACACTTCTTCAAACAATTTATTAGATCATAAAATAGATTTAGATTTGTCTTCTTAAGTGATTACAGATAATAGTGGTAATAGTATGGACTCTTTTTCTTCAGATAGTGATATAACATATTCTTCAAATTCATCACAAACTACTGTTAACTTTAGTGTAGAAAATATTGATGGTTTAAAATGCTTATATACCAATGCTGACAGTATAGCTAATAAATGGACAGAAATGGAAGCTCTTGTGTTTATACATCAGCCAGATGTTATTGGTTTAACGGAAGCTTTTTCTAAAACAGCAGATGTTATTGACTTGTTGAGTTATAATATTAAAGGATATCAGTTATTTTGCAATCCTAAATTTACTGACAAAGGTAACAGAGGAACCTTATTATTTATTCGCTTAGGTATAGGGACATCTCTCTATGAAAGTTCTTGTAAATAAGCAGTATGGTGTGAAGTTGAAATTAATAAACATGAAAATATCTTAATTGGTATAGTATATAGATCTCCAAATTCATGGGATATAAATAACAAAGAATTAAATACTATGTTTAGCTGTATAAAAGACAGTTTTCACAGTAGAATAGTTGTGATGGGTGACTTTAACTATCGTGAGATTGATTGGATAAACTGGATTTCTAATATGCCTGAAAATCATAGTAGTCATGAATTCATCGAAGCAGTACGTGATAGTTTTTTTTTATATCAAATAGTGAATTTTCACACAAGATTTCGAAATGGCCAGAATCCTAGCACCTTGGACCTCATATTTACTTATGAAGAGTTTTTAATTGAAAAATTGGAACACTTTCCACCAGCTGGTAAAACCGATCATATACTGTCGACTTTTAACATTATATGTAATGTAGAGCAAATTGAAGAACCAAATAAATTGAACTTTATGTATGATAGAGGTGATTACGCTTCCATAAATTTTGAAATGAGTTCAATCAATTGGAGTATTGAATTTCAGCACAAAAGTCTGGAGGATAAATGGTTAATTTTTAAAGACAAAATTCAAAATAGTGTAAATAAACACATACCTAAAAGAAATTTTAAACGTGTGTTCAATAAACAGAGGCCCTTGTGGATGACAAATACATCCTTGAAAGCTGTAAAGAGAAAACATAAATCATGGAATAGATATCAACAAACAAAAGAACTTAGATACTATTTGAACTATTGTAACAATAGAAATATTGCAACAAAGGAATGTAGAAATGCAAGGTCAGATTTTGAAAAGAAAATATCAGAAGAAGAAGATAATCAAAAGGCTTTTTATAAATATGCAAACTCCAAGAAGAAAGTAAAAAGTGGTATTTCTCATTTAAAATGTGAAAATGGCACTTATACAGAAAGTGACCTAGATAAAGCTAATGAACTTAATATATTCTTCAAAAGTGTATTTCAAATTGAAGATAACAACAATCTTCCAGATATTACAAATCGCAGTGGTGGAAATACATTAAATGACATTTATTTCAGCGGAGAAGTATTGACTAAGCTACTTGAGAATTTAAATGTTAATAAATCTTGTGGTCCAGATTTGCTTCACCCAAGGGTTTTAAAAGAGTTGGGAACATCAATTGTTTCTCCTTTAACACTTATATTTACTGAATCTGTAGAAACTGGAATATTGCCTATGGATTGGAAGACTGCGAACATCAAAGCTTTATTTAAAAAAAGGAAGTAAAGATTCATCAGGAAATTATAGACCAATTAGTTTGACATGTATACCCTGTAAATTGTTGGAAAAAGTAGTAAGGAATAATATTGTAGACTATATGAATGCTAACAACTTTTTCTCTGCAGCCCAATATGGTTTTAGATCGCTTAAATCATGTGCCCTTAAGTTACTAGAAGTCATGGAAAAGTGGACAGAATGGTTAGATGAAGGCAGAAATTTTGATTGTTTGTATTATGACTTAAAAAAGCATTTGATATGGTTCCACATTCTAGACTAATACTTAAATTGCAATCTTATGGTATTGGTGGTGCACTTTTATCATGGATCAAAGCATTCCTTACAAACAGAACTCAGTGTGTTGTTCTTAATAATAGTAAATCTGACTATTGTAGTGTAACAAGTGGTGTTCCACAGGGAAGTGTTTTAGGACCAATATTGTTTCTTATATTCATTAATGACATTGAAAGTCAAATTAAAAGTACCTTGCGTCTCTTTGCGGATGACACCAAATTATTTAACCTGGCAAATGTAAATGAAGACTTTAACCAAATACAAAATGACAATGATAGTTTAATACAATGGAGTGAAAAGTGGTTAATGCAATTTAATGTAGACAAATGCTGTGTTATTCATTATGGACACAATAACACGGAACATCAATATTTTATGAAAAGTGACTTTACAACTAAACAATTGAGGTCTAGTGAGGAAGAAAGAGATTTAGGTATATTATATGATAAGGATTTGAAATTTCGACATCACATAAGTAATTGTATCAATAAAGCAAATAAAATAACTGGATTGGCCAGAAATACCTTCTTACATGTTAATATCAAGCAATTTCGGAAACTTTATAAAACACTTATAAGACCACACCTTGAATATGGAAATATTATCTGGAGTCCAAGATTTAAAAAAGATATTGAAGCAATCGAAAGAGTTCAAAAAAGAGCAACAAAAATGGTTCAATGTATCAGAAATTTATCGTATGTGGAAAGATTAAAATTCTGGAAATTCCTACTTTGGCTTACAGAAGATTTAGAGGTGATATCATACAAGCATGGAAATTATTAAATGGGAAGGAAGATATAGATTATAATGTATTTTTTGAAAAAGCACAACTTGATAATCATCACATCAGAGGAAATTCCATGAGGTTGAAAATAAAATCATGTAAAAAGGAAATTAGAAAACATTTTTTCTCATTAAGAGTAGTACCAGAATGGAATAGGTTACCGGATACTGTAGTATGTTCACCAACGCTGAATTCGTTAAAAAACAGACTCGATAAGGTTATGAAAAACAA